ATTTCTAATCTTAAATGAATATTACTTTTCATGTTGGATACACAACATGCCACAAAAAAAGGCATGAAAAAACACTGCTTAACAAACCTTAAGACTTAATAAAAAAATTGATATTTTGCTTATGAATACATTATAATGTTTACTCATAATCTACCAAATTTCATTAACATTTGCTTACTAGTTTAAAAGTTATAGCATGAAAACTATAACAAGCACAAAATGGTTATGAGGTTAGTCCCAGTGACCGAGCACGTGCTGAAAGAGTTAAGGGAATTTCAAGAGATAAGAGAAGATTATAAATAAGAAAACTAATGAATGAACATTGTGCACGTCAGTCTAGTTCAGTAAAGAATTTGTATCAGTATCAGTTACGGCGTACATTCAGTTACTCAACTGAATGGCCACGAAATTATGCAAGAGCATTTTTATGTTAGTGCTAGTACTACTAGCGAGGTATTTCCATTTGAATGTCATTTTTAAACCTATGCCCACAACTTTACAACATTAAGAAAGAAATAAAATAATTGGTTATCATTACTTGAACTGGACTACAAACTATTTTCCCCTGATAATTTAAAAGAACCTCCCCAATAAAAGAACAAGACAATACTACAAAAGAAACTTCCAAAGACTACCATAAATCAAATTAAATAACATCTACATTTACCTATAATTTACACATTATTTTCAACAAGATTACAAGTACACTACAAGCAAGAGACAAAGAAATTTCCTATTACAACATTTGTCAACAGAGACAATAACAAGAAGTCTATTTCTGCCATTGTAATTCCATATGACTTCCTATTGCAATCTTGGTTTATCATTTTTCAGTTCACTACTAAAAAGTTAAGACTATCAGCTTACTACACATGAAAACCATTAATTAATTTTTTTATTAAAAAATATATCTCTTTATTCAACTTTCTAACCCTGTCAACATCAAACACTACATTTAATTTCAAAACAATGCTAGAAATTGTTTTTTTTTATTTTAGCTATTGGAGAATTGTGAATGATAGGTAGAAATCTTAAAATTTTATTCTATATGGGAAATTATGACTCTGGTTTGTAACATTAGAAGGTGATAGAACTATTGCTTATGATTAGTAATCAACGGATCGGAAAAAATATATATGTGTAGTTTAAAAGCATCAAAATAAGGACCATTAGGTTTTTAAACTCTGTTCATTTTATACTTATCTGTACTAGCTGTCCATCTACCCATATATACATAGAAATGTAGATGAAATAAGTTCAACTGCCAAATAAATAATACATGCAGAAATTCCTTTTGTTTATACTTACCCAATTGGTTTTTACAGATGTACATCAGCTTCTCAGCAGATGTGAGTTTCGTGGTACTACATCTTTTATAATAAGGATCAGTTTTACCACTCTTGAAGGGTTGAAATGATGAATCATCAATGAATTCTGTTTGCTCAACTACATTGAAATGAAAGTCTACTCCTTCATCAGATGTTTTAGTTACTTCACCCCAGTATAAAAAGTGATCATTGTTTACTACCCGTCCACTAAAATCTGTCTGACTCAGCACTGATATATGGTCCACATAATAATCATCAGCAAGATGTCGAACAAAACGGTTACACAGACATGACTTTCCTACTCCTGTGCTTCCTTTCTCTTTCTCTGTACCTGAAAGCCCTACGACAGCAATATTGAAGGTTCGAGGCACATCACACTTTTTGGCCATCTCCAGCAAGTGACACAGCCTTCAGGACTCTGATGTTGGTCCTCTCAAACTCAAACTTTGTTATTGCAGCTAAATGCATTTACAACTATGACAAATAAATGAGTCTGGTGTTCTAAATGAACACCTTTCTATTTCTACTTAAGATGGCTACACAGCAGATTCCATATCTACGGAAGGTGTTCATGTGATCTCCATGGCAATGAACAAAAACCTGTATTAAATAACATCATGTAAACGAATTCAGCACAAAACAGTCCTGTTCAAAAATTCTCCCTGCAAAAAAAAGAAAAAAACATTCTCAAGAGTTTTGTTTACTAAAATTGGCAAAAACAAAATCATACACTTCTAAATAATAAAGCAAAATAATTTATTTTTAAAACAAACCCTTCCATCATATGTGTGCATGCATGTTAACATCCAGTACAGATACTCCCATGTATAAATAAGAACACAAAATAGCCGAGTCAACTAATCAAACAATAAGCTAATAAACAATAAGCTAATTTATGTTTAGCATTTCATATTGTCCTTTTAAATATATACATATATAAATTAGCATTAAAGACTATTGGCCACAAAAGTTATCCATCACTATTCAAAATGAGTCTCTTCAATTTTAAAAGCTGTGATCAAAAATTAAGAACTACATGTAAAAAGGGTATAAAATTAACAAATGTTATATATACCTAACTTGTTTCTGAAGCAGGTATTACATATCTAGTATAGTGTATAAAGTGGCCCATACTACATGATTTGAATAACACAAACACAATAAATCAAGATCCTGTTACTCTGAAGACAGGATAGGGAAAAAAACTGTTGTTCTGCTCTTCCATAATGCCATAAAACAGCCAATAATTTACCTGAAAATACCAAACTTAATTGTAACTAAGTACACACAGGTAAAAAAGATTCCCATACCATGTATGCGATGAAAAGGCAGTCATAAGTCCGAGTATCTTTACTACTTTCTCGTGCTCAACCATGTTCTTATATAAAACTATATTACCATACCAGGGGAAAATAATTATCTAAAATCCCAATGTGAAAAAAGCAGAACACTAACTGTAACAAAAGTTCAAAAATATGAAATAAAATCGAAAGTACATTTTTATTTTCTAGAATGAATGCAGATTATAACATACAATTACAATTATCCTAAAATCTACAGTCCTCTGTAAATCCTATCCAAATAATAAACTAGTGCAACAAACCAATAAGCACCCAGACAGTATAGTACAAGTTACAGTAAACAAAGTATTAAATTACAACACACACACAACCAACTCACTGAGAAATTTCATATTTAATTTTTTTTTCATTTAAATTTCCTTACACAATGTAACAAGTTTCTATTTTTTACATTTTAGTTGCTTTTATAAGAATAAACAAAAAAACAAGTAACTTGGTACTTACAAACAGAGCTTGTACTATTTTGCTTTGAAAGTTTTGATAATTAATACTAATATTTTACGGTTCTTGTTAGTATTCTACTAAATTCTTATTCATTTTAAATGTGCAATGTAGAACACAAAATAACAATACAGAAAAAATACAATATCCTATAACTATTATAATCTATCTGGTCTTCTAATTAACTTATATGTCAGTTACGATAACTCCTTTCACTCGCTGAGGTGACCTGAGCAATAGCAAACTATGAAACTGACATAGAATAACTCAAACCCTATAATCAAAATGAGCTAACCTTGTAAGCAGTAAGTTAAAATCTTCTCTCTCTCTATTGGCTATAAATAATTCAAAAGAAAATGCCATAGAGAGCTAATTTTTGAAAGACAGCTTGTGATAGGAGGGCATGACATGTGGGTTTGACTTTCTGGTTTATATCTCAGTAAAGTAATAACATTGTAGGATATAAATTAAAAACTTTTATAGCATTCAAAATACTAATGCTTCTCCAAAATTAGGTAACATATTAAAAATTATAGAAATGAATAAAAACCCTATAACCCAAGCTATTTCGAAAGGTTGACCTTTCTTCTTCAGGGGCAAACCTCCCTGCACATGATTTAGTTTCATTAAATATTTTGTTGAAATTTATTGCATTCAGTTATATCTAATTTCCAAAACACGATTTTTGTATTAACTATGCTATGGATGAAACTAACTAAGTTGATAGAGAGTTCAAGTCCATAATGCTTTTACAGCAGCTGAAACCCCATTAGTAATTAATCAACAGGAAAATTAATGTGCCAAAACTAACTTAATGCCTTCCAAGTGACATTATATTACAAAAATAGTGATAATTATTTTTTACAAATCTTTTTTTTACTGGTCCTATTCTACAGGTTTACCAGTAAGAACATATTATCTTGACCTCACACTTTGTACACTGAACAGCACTTCCAACAAGGCTTACTTCTCTCACCTTACAAAACATTAAAATGCAACACAGTTTCACTTGAAGTTTATATCAGTCAGTTACCATATGTCAATTACTAAAGTATACCACACCTTATTCTGATGAAGTGTAATCTATTCATTAGAAGTTTGTATGACATTACATCATTATAAGACTGATAATATTATTCTTTTACAAATCTTTCTTTACTGCATAAAATCTACAAATCCAAAATTCTACCTGTATCATAATTTAGATAATATACTGTGCTTACAATTGTAATTGAAAATATAGTAAAATATAAATAACATACTTCTTGGCAATTGAAGATGAGTACACACTATGTGCAGTACATTTAAATCAACAGTTTGCGACTTTGACCTTTTAAACATAAGGAACAGCCTACTTTTATTTTAAGAACACATTATGTTAACTGATAATCCTACTTACAATCTAGCTATGACCTTAGCTTTTGACCTTCTGAACACATAAATATACTATTCTAGATTACGCCAACAATCCCCAAAAGCTTAGTGACTTAATCCCTTATACTTATGTTGCTCTTTGTGCAGACAGTAAAACAATGTCATACTGAAAGCCTCATCTATACAGTCACAATCATGTAAGTGGAATAAATGAGAAACTAAACTTTTATATAAAGCCTCAATATAGTTCACACAAGAAGCCTTTACAAAACATTAAATGTTTGAGGCTGTGAACAACATGTTCAGTAAACTGAAATAATAACTCTTGAAATTAATGAACAGTGAAAATAAAACTTTTAAAATGTTAAGAATATAACTCTCCTTACATACAAAACTTGAAGGTGTGACTAATTTCCATATATAAAAACAATGGATAGTGGACAGAAAAGTGAGAGAAAAATTGAAGTGTGGGATAAAAAATGATTTAAAAAATTGAAAGCAATATGAACATTAAAGTAGGCAAAAATTGCAAAAGAACAGGAATAAAAATAAGAAAATTTATTTAAAGTAAAATAAAAATATTTATTTTATATAACTCGGCAGAGCTTCTATGGTTTTTGAAACTCAAAACACAGGAATCTATAAAATCACATAAGCATAATATGCAGTGAAAGCTGTATACACATTTTTCAGTTTATTTATACAAGGCAATTACATCAATTGGTTTACCTTAAACATTAGTTTCAAACAGGGGCACCCTAATTTTACAATACAGCATAATTTCTTGTAGGTTTATTATATATCCAACTATTGTAAAATCTTACTGAGATTTACAAAATTATACTGGAGATTGATGAGATAAAGGCTTCTAATTTCTTTGTGCTATATAGTGAAGAAAATAAGATGAGAAGATGCAAGTTAAAGACTAGGAAAATATAGGCTAGGCTCCAGATAAGACAGTTTTTTCTAACAAGTGATTGACCAATGGAATGAATTGCTGTCAGTTGTAGTAGTGGTCTACATTTTACAAAAGTATAAGTGGGGAAATTTATTATTTCCTGAAAAGTAAAGAGTGGGTGTGCAAAGACAGCCATAGAAGGCTAAATGATCCCTTGTTGCCCAGAGGTTATGTTATGATGACGATTTGCTCTAGCAATTCAAAACATCATCCAAAAAATTTCTAAGGCAGATGCAATCCACAGAAATGTCCAATCAAGTTCAATTTTCTCTGTAAAAACTTTCTCTTAAGCAAGATATAACCCAAAACTGAGCCAAAGTATCATGTCATCAAGTTTTAAAGCCAGAGTCAGCAACCCACATATCTCTGACTGTACACATTTGGCTCCTGTATTCTGCAACATACACATTTGGGGGAAAAGAAAAAAAAACACATTGCATGGACTTGAGTAGTTCTCTGGATGCAAAAAAATATACATTTCATCTTTGAGAAAGAAGGAATGATTTCATAATATGCTATCACATTAAATAAACATTTATAATAAAAAAAAACAATTCAGCCAAGTTAGATGTATACTACACGTAAAGCTGACTTAATCATTTCAGACTTCATAGTTGATACATCAATTTGCAAATTCTGACCTAATTACAAAATTACACCTTATATTCAAACACAGCATTTTGTTTTCCCAACTGAAAACCCTAAACAATTTGAGATATATATTTTTTATTATTTATTTAAAAAAAATAAAGATAATACTATATTCATTTCAAACCTTTACTTGAAAATAACATTTTGAGGCCATTAAGGGAAACTGAAAAAAATAACTGGTTTTCATCTGACGTTTTCAAAGAATTGGGTAGGTGAAAAGTATTTTTTAATGTTACTTTTTATTACTTAGCTTAATATCAGATGTAAAAGTACTAGACAAAAAGGCTATGTCTTCCAATCTCTTAAAGTATCAATTTTAAAAAATGATGGATTATATTTAGTTTTAAATGATAGAATGAAATAGCATTACCTATAAGTGACTTAATTTGTTAATTGGTGTGCATGTCAGTGAATGTAAAATAAAAAATAAATTCTGAGGCACGCACACCAAAAAGGAGAGGCAGGAACAAAAACCAATCATATTCTTTTAGTTGACCTAAAAGTTAACAATCAGTTTTAATTTAATACTGCAAAAATAAAAGAAACTGCTCTAATAGAATGAACCCTTTTTTTCTTTTGAATATTTAAGTAACTTAGATTACAAATTTAACATTAAGAATATGTGTGGTAAACAATATTTGTTTTTCAAAAATATTTTAAATAATACAGGACATTAGGGTTGCACAACTTGTAAACTATACTGTAACTTGTAAGTTTTCAGTGTTGTTGTAACAATATAGCTGTTAAGTAAAAGAAAAGGATTATTGGAAAGCATGCAGGTAAATTTGTAGTCGCTATTTTAAAAAATAAAACGTGGATAATGATCAGCATATCTCAGTTCTTACTCAGTTACTGTGTACCAAATTTTATACTTTTA